ATTGTGTACTTCACAATTTATTGAACATAGCTTTAGTAAGCTCCCTGTTCCGAGTCAGGACAGTTAATGTTTCCAAAGCAAGTAAAGAGGAATACCAATCCTGATAACAGATTGCTTGCATTGGCAAGCGAAATACACGCAGAATGCATCTCTCTTCCTTACATCGCTCTGTACTCGGATGTAAAGAAGTGTTTCGGTGTCACTTTAGAATTTTAAAAATGATACTTTCCTTTGGACATCTAGTATTTTATTAATTTTATCTTCTTTTTGAAACTGATAAGTAAATATAAAATGTTTAATTAAATGTATTTCCTAACCAATGAGTGTAATACACTCTTAAAAAAATGTGCTAGAGAGAAAGAGAAGAAACACCGGAGAGAAAATGCTTGTTTTTTATTGCAATTAAATATGCTTAAAGTTCATACACAGGTAATGAAAATTAAAAATTCAAGTCTATAGAACCCATCAGTGGCTAGCAATTGCGCATTGAATGCTCAAATCAGTAATTGGTGAAACTTCCCGTCGGTGATGTATGCTAGTAAATATTGAGGTAAGGAATGACACAGATTCCTGATTTCCTCTGGCGATACATTTTGCCAAGTATTCTGCAATTGTTGCTCCAGATCTGCGATATTTCGTTGCGCCCGAGTCTGGTGGTCTATCATATCCCATTCATGTTTAGTTGGTGAAAAGTCTGGTAATTTTGCTGGCCAAGGAAGAGTGCCAACAGCTAAGAAACAGTCCAGAGACATGCGAGCCGTATCACCTTCTCCTGTAGAGAAATGGCTTCAGGATGGAATGCCAAGAAGAGTAAAGTAAATGGCTGCAGAATATCATCAGCATATCCTTGAATTGTTAAAGTTGTATGCATGATGACTAGGGTCGACCTGCCGTCGTAAGAGATAGCACTCTGCACCATCACGAGAGGGATAATGGTTGTGTGCTTATGTAAAATAAGGCTGAGAGGGACCGCTGGCCCCGGCCAATTCACTCACGTACCCGATGGTCATCTACACCAAGACTGAAGTAGGATTCGTCGCTGAACACTATGCTATACCAATCGGATGGCAGCCATTGGTCGGCTATGAAACAATTTCAGAAACTCTATCGATATTGTGAGGTTAAAGGCAGACGTCTCAAAGGCCGCTATCAATGTAAGTCGCCTCAGTCAAGATGGTGGAAGACGCCATTGGATGCCTGGAAGAGGCTGTAGCACGCTGGATAGCGGGCAATGATGCCGTTGGCGCAGTTCGGGCCTGATGCTCGATCTCGCGCCGCATTCGTGCACTTTTGCCTTCCACAGCCTTGATTCCACTGATGAGTACTTTGAAGGAATCATTGCTGTCAGCACCTTTGCATACTCGCGTCCGTATTGTCCAGTTGGCGGCTTATTACTCGGTATGAGCAGCCCGCTTCACGCGTCCCTACCATATGCCCATGTTCCAATTCTTCAACTGGCTGCAAGTCTTCGTCAACGTCGAAACGGCATTATTGATGGTGTCTCCAGAAAACTGCAACGCTGACAACGAGAAGAGATAAACCGGCGCAACCGTTATCTGTTTTAAACGATGCTATTTCGGCAGTGGGAACGCGTGCCATGACCGAAGATAACATTCAATGGCCTTGAAAATTTTATGATTTGCATTTCTGGTAAGAAGGAATTTGCCTACAAAATTTTGAGATGATGGGATTACTTTTGATTTTTTTTTGTGTGTGTGTGTGTGTGTGTGTGTGTGTGAAAGAGTGTGCTTTTAACAATTTAATTTTTTTAATGTAAATATTGTGGTTGTCCCTACAACGGAAACATACCACAATACTCTGGATTTCTTCACTAGAATAAAAGAATCTGACTGCCTTACTACCTTATAAAACTCTTTTTTAAGGAAAAAAAAGGTTTTAAAATAGACAGTAAAATTTACAGTGAAATATTACAATATTTGTAATATTCTTTCACTTGACTTTCAGATAAAGCCTTGGCCAATATTTTCACAGTACCTGGAAGACAATTCTTGGATTCGGAGCCCTTTCACAACGATAGCTAAGTCGATAGATATGAGCACAGCTGATTTCGAAAAATTAATTGACTTGACAACTGATTCTGGCATAAAACAAATATTTAAAGAAAGAATTTTAAAAAATTTGTGTACGTTTGTCAAAACACTATCCGAACGTATTAAAACGACTACTCAAATTTTACTTCCTTTTCCTGCATGTGCGAGGCAGGTTTTTCATATTATATTGCAACAAAATGCAGGTATAGAAGCCGATTTGATGTTGCATCTGATGTAAGAATTTAGGTTTCTGTCGTTGTGCCTGACATTAAAAGAATTTGTAATTCGAGGAATCGCAGTCATGTACATATCACACATTAAGAACTAAAAGTGTTAAAATATTTTAATATTATTTTTTATTTAATTATATTTATGTATCATTTTTTCTAACTTAAAAACTGTTAAATATTTCTTTCATAGGTATAATATAAAACTTGGAATAAATCTTTTTTTTTTTGTTTGTTTGTTTTGTTTTGTTTTGTTTGTTTTGTTTAACTAGTATCTCTGTGGTATCATATATTATACTAAAAATCCAAATTTATTCTAATGTTTCTTAAAACATTAACAGTCTAAAAAGTGTTTCGTGTTGAGAAAAGTTTGGCAAAGATGTCTAGAACAGTGTTTTAAGATAAGGAACAATGTTCTAGACAATGGTCGAAAACAGATACGAGTCATGGAACCTTTTATAAAGATTACCATTAAACCCAAGGATGGCAACAATTGCACTGGTTGCATGATAAAGCTTCTTGGACGGCTCGGTGGCACAGGGTAGTGCGTACAACAACGTTTCATCAGTGATAGTCGTTGAGTAAAAGTCTGGAGGTGGCTTGGCAAAGAGCTATAAAACTTATACGTATAATCAGAGAAAACAGCGTAAATGCAACGATGCAATTGGGTAGTATTTTAGTTTATCAACCCATTATTTTATTAATTTTACCTTGATTGTCACTTCTACTTTCGTCGGCTCCTACCAGGATGCACATTAGTTAGTATATAACAGGTTAAGGTAGAGCATTTAACAGCAACCGCTGACCTTTTTCGAACTATTTACGTCTAACTCTTAAGTTTACCTCAATCAGTTTTAGCTTTTTGCTAGCCGTGTGTGCTCACGGAATTATAAGGCCTGAGCCAAAACTTACAGTAGGATTTTGGCATGTGAATTACATACTTTAATCATTGTATATTCCCTCAGTACAAAACGACCTTTAGATAAGATGAAAAATAAATTTTCGTTAAAATATTATAGATTTATTATATATCTATCCTATAAGACAACTTCCAAGCTATCAACGTCCTATGAATTTAATTTAGATCAGCGATCATCATCTGGAACAAAGAATCTGGCAGAATTTCAGTTGGCAGTATGCGCCGAATCACGAACTCACTTGTACCTCTAACAAATTTCATTGTAGGCTGTGTCGTGTGTTCAGCCAATTTGTACTATATGTGTAATCAGCGAAAAATTTGCAAAGCGTGGGCTTGATCATTGAATCAATGAAAATAAGGGAATTTTGAAGCATGCTTTAAGTTCGAGATCATAAAGCAGGCTAAAGAATTGAACAACTCTGCTCATGAAAAAATGCTCTATGAGGAAAGGACTAGATTGCTGTCGAAACTTGAAAAATAACGTTTCAGAATTGGAACAAGAAAGGATTCAGAATTAGTATGCTGTTACAAGAAATATAAATAGGGCTTATGCAGTGAAGTGAGCATGGGCCAATCTGGAATAACGCAAAGAATGTAAAGCAACAGTAGGTTGGGACAATCGTTTCATGAACAGGAAAAATATGGTAGCACGACTGAAGACAAAAATTGCTGAAATTATCACAAGATCAAATAAAGTCACAAATATTCACAAGCTTGTTATTGGTATGATGAAAAAATACCACATCTCTTTGTTGCATCAGAAGCAGTGATGTCAGAAGATTTTCTGTTATATACATTTATAAAAACGAATTGAGGTGCGTGGCAGACAAAGCTTGCAATGAAGAAGGAATTTGAGCGAACGCCGTCAAATAGTATATAGTCTGGAACATTGAGTGAACTGCAGTTCCCACTGGGGTAAGTAGCTGTTACGAAGATTTTAAAGCTGGAGGAAAAGAACCTGTGTAACCTCGAATCTTCTAAAGCCAATTAAAGACTACAGTTTACCTCAATATGGTGTAATTTCATTCTTTCGAATTAGTTCCTACAAAGAAACTCCATGTTGTCAGTTTGTCGAGCCGGAATCATTTGTGTAAGTGTTCTTATAAAGCGGCAGCTAGCTGGTGAATCTACTGTGGTAAGCTGTGTTTAGAGTTATTTAAAACATAAATAAAGAAAATTTGTTAAAAAGAAAGAGAGTATTGAAATCGCAAATAACGAAATATAAAGTTAGCACTGAAAATATAGACTTAAATGCATGTGAATTACTTTTAAAGAAGCACAATGTATTTAGAAGTGAATTAAAAGAAATATTTGGTCAGTTGTACATAAAGTGTGAGAAAAATGATATTGAGGAGTAAGTTGAGAATCAGTTTAGCATTCAATAAAATCTAGATCACCTAATTTTAAAATTAAATAAAAATTCTGGGGGTTCTTAAGTTTAAAGTCAGAAATAAATGCTTCAGAATGAGTTAAACTCCCAAAAGTAAACCTATCGACGTTTAGTGGAAATTCGTAGGTGTGAATAACATTTAATGATCTGTTTAAGGCATTGTAATCCCAAACTATCAAATGAACAAAAATTACAATTTTTTAAAGTCTTAGATTTAAAATTTTAAATGTCGTACGACAACTTACGGCAGTCGGATTATACATGGAAACGACTCATTCCCATTTTTAAGCATATCGTGCCAGTTTATGTCTTACTTGCACTCGTACAAAGATTCCGTATAATATTATTGACATTAAATTGAGATAAACTTTAATAAAATTTGCAAGGAAATATTCAAAAATATCCGAACTCACCGGGCATTGCATCTACAAGATCCCCACATATTATAAAGAAACGTGGCCTGGGGGACATTGCGTTTACAGCTTTGATGGCTCTTTTGGCTAGTTCTATTTCTTTATTCCAAGCAGGTTTGAGACGGCCATAAATATTGCTGTCAATCATACCAAACTGAGTATCGGCCCCTTGTATGATATAAAATGGACCTTTCCATGCCTCATTTTGTTCTTAAAAAAGGAAATTATCTATTAATAATTATACCTTAATAATCAATGGTAAATATATATATATATATATGTAAGATAAACACATGTAAAGCAAACTTCTAATTTTAATTAGCAATAGACCGTTTATTCTTCATTTTAATTTGCGTACTTCCCCTTTCTATTCTAAAAATAGCAATTATTATAACATATTATTCAAAACTGCATTATAAGATCTTATGTAACCGGCAAAAAATATATCTTTTATTCAATCACAGATCAAGATTTCTATTGAAGAATTGGAACTTTTAACACTTCTCGACACTTCTGCTAAATGTGCATTCTTTCTTCTGCTTCGCTTGCTGCGTGCTAAGATGCTGTCGCTTACCTCTCTATCATCCACTGTGTGTTTTAAGATGCAAATTTCAAAGAATGTTAAGAAGATTGGTTGCAGATTGCGCACATGATCATGTATGAATCATTTTGTGCATTTAAAGAATAGCGTTTATTATTTCTATTTAGTAATAAAATTATGTTAAATGTATGGCTCTGTCTGCAAGTATCGTCATGCAATAAACCACTTCCATTTACATTGTAGCATAAACCTTCTCCAGTTCCATTGAAATAAATCACTTCCATTACAATTAACTCTTTCCCTAATCAATTACACACGTGGCGGTATAACCGTAACTGGACTTTGGAACTAATATTTATTTTCTGACTGTTTACTGAATGTTGTGAAGACGACTAGTGATTTGATTACTGCGGTTTTTAACCTGTTTTAAGATGGTGATGCTCTTGATCACTGGCGGTTAAATATAAAAAAGCCAGAGCCCAGCAAACGAGAGAAATAGCTGATCGAGCTACTTTCAAAAAATACCTAATGTTCCTACAAGGTGCATTCTTAGAAACACTATATACAGTCACAAATTACTGCCCTATAATAAGAAGTATTATGATGGATGGTTCGAGGTCGTTTGAATGGATGTTCGACCTGTGGCTCGTAATCTGCCAATCTGGCAACAGAGCAGTTTGGCAATATCTGTAATTTGAATCTGAGCGAAAAATTACGAGAACTGGTCAAAATAAAATCTTGAACATGTTGTATCTTTAGATCTTCATATATTTGGTGGTTCCTTAAAAACCACGGGGCGTTTGTAATCGTTCTCAGAATCTTATTTGGAAGATAATGATTTTCTTTCTATAGGTTTTGAGTGCTGTTCCCTAAACAGGATCAGCGTATAAAAGTACTGAATGGATTAAAGCCTGATAAAGTGTCCTTTTCACTTCTAAATGAAGCCTATGATAGATCGATTTTTGCCTTATAATACTGTAAATTGCCATAAAGGCAGAAATTACTCTCTAAATATTTCCTCTCTGTCAGAAATTCTCATAATGGCGCAGTACTATTCGCAGCGCAGCTAAAACTACGAGCAATATGACTGATGTCAGACTCTATACAGTATCGAAAGGTTATGCTGTATTTCCTTTCACATGACGGGGAGTAACTTCTTTCAGTACGACGAATAACATCAGCCGACCTATACAGTGATTTAAAGTAGCCATATAATCAAAAGTCCTAAAGTATAAGATCTAGAGGTTGTAATATCTGGAGAGTGTGGCGGTCCTTCTTGCGGAAAGGACTGACTGAGGGCACAGTCATCGTCAAATATCTATCGCAGGAGATATTACGTAGGATTTGTGTGGAACGCTCAATCCTCTACAAATGCTACACTGTAGAACACTTGCCTCGCAAGTAGACAATGATACTGTCTTTTAGGCACTGCATAACCCTAGCTGTAATAGAAAAAGCTCGAATTATACCGCTTCAAAGAAAATGGATTCTATCGTGACACAGTGAATTCACACTATATTGACAACTCTGGATGATGCAGAGGGCTTCTACAATCAGGTGTGGGTTTTCTCTTGCCCAGATGCGGAAGCTGTCATATTTATTTACACTTACATTTATCGAAATGTTCGCTTCGCCAGTCCACAAGATGTGTGATATTCATTAGGCATTGTTTCGCGTCTACAGAAAAGTGCAATTTGAAATTTGTAATTTCTCTCGAATTCGGTTGGTTTCATTCATTGTATATGTTGGGTTGTGTAAAGATGCATTTTGAGAATGATTCTAAGTGATAGTCACATAGTCCCAAATAAAATGCCTCTTCTGAATCTCCACATTCTTTTGTGAAAATGCAACTATTCTGGTAATAAAATGTTTCGTTGTTAAAAAAATCCCATGCATTTTCTGCATATTTCTGCGAAAACCAGCATCGTGTTTTATCTGTCTATATTTTTCCACACTGTCTATATTTTCTAAAAAACACTGCTAAATTATATTTTTTTAAAACAGATCTAAAACGCTGTCTATATTTTCCGAATTACTGAATTTTTACTTTTTATGTTACTTTTGGATCACCAGGCATATTTAGCTTAATTTCTGATTATTATAATCTTTTTCAACTTTTATTAGATGGTTGAAATTCTTGTATTTAGCTATTAGCTTAATTTATAATAATTATGCTAGATGAACTATAAGTTTCTTTAAGATTGATTTTAGCCATTCGGAATGATTTGTGATTTTTAATTACTGTTTGTTAACCCTTAAGACTCCTATGTCGAATATGGCTCGACATCGTATTTCTTACAGCAACTCCTTTGTCGAGCTAAACTCGACATTATACATTGTATTTTCTAAAATAATTTTAAATGTTTAAATCTATTTTTTTTTCTTTCAAGTATTTTGTAATATGTAAATAAAGACTAAATTTATTATGTTTGACCAAGTTAGATAATTTAAAAATTCTTTTTAGTATTATTTTAACATATGTCGAGTGTGGCTAGACACCACGTTTCTTACTCCAACTCCAGCTAGACTCGACATTATGCATGGTAATTTCTAAAATAATTGAAAATGTTTAAAATTGTTTTTTTCTTTCAAATTTTTTGTACTATGTAAAATAAAGACTAAATTTATCATATTTCACCAATTTATATTATTTTAAATTCTTTTTACATTAGGATCAAAAGAGTCACGTTGTAGTGTGGTGCAGTGGTCGAACGCGCTACCCAAAGCCTCTGTTGTATTTCAGGGTTGAAATGACTCAAACTCAAGTTATAAAACAATAGCGAGAATTTTAATAAAAATATAAATGTAAGAAATTAATATTACATCAATCTGGTATGTGGATAACACTTAATCCAATAGTACTTCTAAACAGTTACAAATAAACTGTGCTAAAACAACAGCATATTCGGAAAGATTAATCCGTGCTAAATCTCCTAGCAGAACAATGTATTCCCAGTGGACATAGGGTCTTCTAGCTTGGAAAAGCCGGTTCTTTGAACGTGCAGACGATAATTTCCCACACACTCACTGAGGTATTCGGCTACGCTCCTCTTGACACAACATCGCTTCACGATGTCCAAACCTCAACTCCCCCGTCGCTAAATCATAGCGAAAATATCCCCTCGGGTAACAAACAGGTACAATTGCAATCTCCAAACCGCATTCTCAGTCACGTGCAAGAGTCCCTTTGTCTGGGAACTATATCCTTGGAAAGCGAGATAAGGAACATCTCGTTACCTTGTCACAGTAGTCTTCAGGAAAGCACGTTCCCGACACTTTAGAGAAATCGTATTTTTTGCCGTTTCTGATGTTTTGTTTGCATAAAAACATGTTTTACTTCAAATAATAATAATTGAACTGCTATATTTATTTATTTTGTATGCTAATAAGCATAAAAATATAGATGCCGTGAATCAAGAGAAAATAATCATTCACCAAAGAATATGAAAGAAGTGATGACGAATGTATGACTCAAATGGATAATGAACTTGAATTATTGCAAGATGAAATTATAAGGTATTTCTCCCGCCTTCTTGGCATGCTTTCGTGGTGTGGTGGTCTGCACGCTGGGCGCGTATTCTAGAGGTCCGCAGTTCGATTCCCGGCGAAGTCGTTGCTAATTTTTCATCTTGCCTGCCTCTAAAAAATTACCTATGTCTCTACAATATAAATTTTACAAAAGCGTCTGAGCTATTCTTTTCGGTTCCTTTTCAAAACTAGGCCGATTCTGACGAAGAAATTATTATAAGAAGAAGACTTATAAACGATAAATGAGGATAGCAATGAGCAACCATCTATTTCTACACATAATAGGCAGTTTGTTGGAAATGATGAAACATTATGGACAAATGTCACTGAAGAAGACAATAATAGTCATAACATAAAATTCTCAGTTGTTGAAAATGTTGCTGGGCCACAAGTTCCATCCAGCTGCAAATCAGCTCTAGAATTTTTTGAATTGTGTTTGGCTCCTACTCTACTCAAAAATAGTGAGTGAAACTAATGCATACGCAGCAAAAATAATGCCAGAAAAAACACCGAGCAAATATTCCATTTGGTAAAATTGGAAAGATGTAACTGAGAGTGAAATGAGGCCTTTATTAGTGTCATCAATAAATATGGGTCTTGTTGTTTCACTAGCTTTGGAATCATACTGGTCTCAAGCATTTCATTTGAAGATGTCATTTTTTAGAAACATTTTTTTCAAACAAATGTTTTCTTCAAATATTTTGTCACTACATTTGGAAACAATTCCACAAAACACTCAAAAGACGAGGACAAGGATAGAAAGGGTGAACACCTTTCTGGATTACCAAAACCAAAAATTTATTCAAAATTATATATCTCGTGAAAATTTGGCAGTTGACGAGTCTACAATCTCGTTCAAGGGGAAAATAATCTTTCTTATGTCTAACCCTAAAAAACCAACAAAATGGGGATTTCGAGTTTATGTTTTAGCAGATTCTAAGACAAGTTATTTATATACATTTGTTCCACATTATGGTAAAATTACAACAGGTGGCTCAATTGGACCAGATCATAATTTCACTAGTAGAATTGTGATGCAACTGTATCGAAATTTACAAAATTTGATGCCAGGATATCATATTTTCACTTATAAGGCATTTCTCCCGCCTTCCTAGAGTGCCTTCGTGGTGTAGTGTTCTGCACGCTGCGTCCGAATTCCAGAGGTCCGTGGTTCAATTCCCAGCGAAGGCGGTTGCTCATTTTCATCTTGCCTGCTTACAAAAAAATTCTAATGTCTCTACAGTGGGCCGCCCGAACTAAAAGAGTTGTGGATGATGACTCTTCACACTCAGGATTTGGCGATTGGCTTCCCTAAAACCTCTAGTCGCTCTTTAAAAGGGGGAGTATATAAGGCATTTCTCCCGCCTTCCTAGCGTGCCTTCGTGGTGTAGTGGTTCTGCACGCTGGGCCGGTGTTCCAGAGGTTCGTGGTTCGATTCCCGGTGAAGGCGTTTGCTAATTTTTCAGTTCTCCTGCATAAAAAAAATACCTAATGTCTCTATATACTGTCAGATTTTATACGAACCCCACTTTAGATGCAGAACTTCTAAAACCCACTTACGTTCTTACTGGAACAATTATGACCAATCGAAGAGGATTGCCAGAAAAAAAAACATATAAAAAAATTAGCTGTTAGACATAAAATCGGTTATAGAAAAGGAAAAATGTTAGTGACATGGCGTGACAAAAAAGTGGTCACAATGTTTTGTACAAAACATTCTTCTGTTTCACAGCCTGCGAGAAAAAGATCAAAGACGACTTAAAATGCTAGAGAAAAAGAAATAAACAAAACCGACTATCATATCAGATTATAGAGAAAATTTATAATATGAGTCTAATAAAGACTTTCGTGCTACTACACAAAAACCCCGGCCGATTATCACAGATGATACTATCTACGTTTAGATGGGAAGACTCATTTTATTTTTTCTCATAAAAAAACAAAAACATCTTTTTGTGATACTTGTGACAGGAAACCCGGTCATTATCCAGGAGAATGTTTTAGAAAATAGCATACTTTAAAAAATTATAAATAATTAAGGTAAATAAATTGGTTAAATATAGAAATTTATATTTTTTTACTATCCTACTACTTAATATAATCGAATATAATTGCGGTATCTAATTGTTTCTACTTTCCTCAGATTTCTATACTTATATTTAACAAAATTTGGTTATTAAAAAAAAGCAAAATATTTGACGTTCGCACGATAAAAATTGACCAGAATCTTAATTTCAAAAACTATGTGTTCCCCCCCCCTTTTTTTTTTTTTTTTTTTTACAACATATTCAGTTTGCATTGAGGAGTGGTTAGGAAATAAATTAGAATAAATCGATATTGATGTTCCCTCTTAAATGTCTTTCAATGGTATTGTTTTCTGATTTTCTAGTCTTTAACTTATAATTTTATTACATTTGGTTTGCAGAAAGAATTTTTACGCGAATAATTTATATGTTTACAAAGTCCAAAATGCGTTATTAATATTCTGATGAAGTTTTCTTACTTTAGAATCATAATCTGATAATCGTACAAAAAATTGATCAAAATACAAATATTTTTCAGTTTTAACTAATGCAAATACACTCGTGTGCAAAATTAAGAGAATATGCATATTATATCGAATTTTTGAAAACTAATGGGCAGATTTTAATAAAATCTGGTTTGAATATACATTTATAACAGAGAAAGAGATGTACCATCTAAAATCCTTTTATGTACGCATGATTATCATGATTATCACAGAGCTAAGATGTCCAAATTCCGCGTTGTGATATCGAACTCAAAATGAGTCTAATGCGGAGTACGGTCCCCTTTCTTAACCGGACATACTGGGCGTAACGGCATACTGGCAAGAGGCAGTTGAGGAGGTCCTGTGGCAGTCGATCCCACTCCAGCAGCAAGGTAGTTTCAAAGCCCGGGATTGATCTCAGAGGAGGATGCTGAGATTAAATTGCTCTCCCAAGAGCGTTCCAGACATGTTCTATACTGGCTTGAGCTCAGGAGATCTGGCTGGCCAATTCCTACGGCGAATATCCTCACTTTCCAGGTAATCGTCGACCACCTCAGCCATATATGAACAAGCGTTGTTGTCCATTAACAAGAACCCAGGATAGGTCCCTGTAAAGTCGAAAGTATGGCTCTAAGATCTCCTACCTGTACCTTATAGCAGTCACACAGCCTTTGTCAAACACATGCAGCGGTGTGCGGTCCATCCAACATTATGCCTGCCCAAACCGTTACACCTCCCCCACTGTAATGATCTCTTTCCCTGAGAAGGGAGGTATGGTATCGTGTTCCAAGTTCTTTCCAGATATAGGTATTCCAAGAATCAGTGTCCAGGACAAATCTGGATTCATCGGTAAAAAGCACGATGCTCCACTGAAGTTTGGTCCAAGGCGCATGTTGTCTGCACTATGCTAAACGCGCTCTCATGTGTGCTGCAGTAAAAGCGGGACGCAAAAGCAGGGTCTTCTGGCATACAGCCCTATTTTATGAAGCCTTCAGGTAACTGTAGACGGTGAAACTCAGGTTCATTTGGCAGCACAGAGCTCTGAAGCTATACAGTCCTGTGTTGTCACTTTGAAAGTGCTTAATAACGATGCTCATTCATCATATGGATCTTGGTCGAACTTGTCCAGGTCTTCTAGATATGGATCCAATGTCCTGAAGCTGTTTCTACAAATTGCAGACGACACTGGGAGTTACATAGAGCTCTGTAGCCACCTACGCTTATGATTGACCTGCCTTCAATTTATCGACAATTCTCCCTCTCATTCCGTCATCCATTGTTCGTGGCTAACCCTTTTACCTGAAACCTTTTGAACTTTATCGAAGTCTTGCGAGAAACAGGGCGAATGCGAATGTCGTGAAAAAGTATCAGTACACAAATCGCTAAAAATTTCTCATGCGCTTATATCATTTCCACAATCACAGCTCCACAGACACACACGTGTACGCTTACGTGTTCAACTCTGAATATTTTCGTAGTCCTTCGGTGGCATACTTAGTACCTTTGATTCAATACCTTTCGTAAAAATATATATAACTTGCAAATTATGTTAGTTTTTCACACGACTGTAATATTATCATTGATTATGTGTCATGAAGCTTACCAGTTTTTTCTAGAACATAAATTTATAAGACTCTGCGAATACGATTTCCAGTTTGAAAAAAAAATTATTTTTAACAATATTTTTAACAGTAATCTGCATAGATAAGCTTGTCTCGTAATCTCTTAATACCAGAAACCGTTTTCTGAACAGTAGTTTATTATTAGTTAAGTACAAATGCAAACATTTCGCTCTTCAGCTTTTCTATGGACTCTGAATATAATTCTCGATTTTAATATCAAATATCTTGGTTTTGACAATTTTTCCTCCTTAATTTTTAGTTCACCTTTCTGTTGGATACTTCTACAAAATCTATCAAACGTCTATTTCTTCTAGCAATTCAGTTGACATATTCACATTCTACATTATATTTATCCTGTTTGGACAGAAATGGTGAGCTCTTTTGGTATAAAAGGGTAGAAAGCAACGGTCTACCCAGTGGTGTAGCTAGGGTGGGGCAAGGGGGGACATGTGTCCCCGGGCGCAGCATCCAAGGGGCGCCAAATTGATGCTACGAAATTTTTTAATGAAATGTTTTCCATTCTTGGCACACTGAAAGGGGCGCAAAATTCTTCAGTTTTCCCCGGACGCTGGAAACTCTGGCTACGCCCCTGGGTCTACCTTCAATTACGTAGACTCTGAATATTCTTTAATATAATTTTGAGCATGCAGAGTTCAAATTTCAGTCTTCGTTACGTGTATCTACTCGTGGCTAATCAATTCCATAAAATTTCATTGCTTAATGTTATCGAGGGAAAAATGCATTTTGTTATAATAAGAAGAAATTCTTACTTTACTTTAATTTTATTATTTTTACTGAAATAAAATTCTATAAATGAAGTAATAAATATTTTTTACTTCAATTATAATACATAGTTGTCCTGCAGAAGAAAAAAAAATTTCGACTAATAATCCTGATATTTCGAATATAGGTATAGTTATGTCTCAGTTAATCCAGTTATTTCGACTTCTTCTATATCTATTATACATCAGTTCTCTACGTAGATTAATATAACAAGAATGAACATAAATATTACCTTTCTCAAAGCCAGGGAAACCACGGTTTTGTGCCTTCTTAGTCAAAGGTACTCCAGACTTTTGAAAGATACAACTCATCTGAAATATTCATACATTCATACAAATCATATTTCATAAAGCATAATATATAATTTCAAATTTTAGCTATCCAAAACGAAGAAAACTTAGCAAATGCAAATTCGATACTTGAGCCATAAATAAAGCGTACAAAATATTCCACTTCAAAAACTAAGAAGAAAAGAAAGAAACCATACCGAGAAAAAAAATCTTACCGTTCTTACTAGAAAAGTTGCTTAGTTAGTTGCTAAGTTAAGTTGTCAGTTTAGAATTTTCCCAAAATATGGCGTTATTGTTTCAAATATGCGAATATTTACAATATAAAAGGAATATATTTTGAGAAAATTATAAAATAAGGTTTGTAAATAAGTCATTTTGGTTGAATATTATATTTTGTATGTTTTATTATAATTGAAATTGTGTTGTTTTGATTTTAAGATTTTAAACTTTTTAATGTAATTATGATTTTGAAATTTTTTTAAACGGGTGGAGTATCGATCTTGGATAGATCTTATTGGTTTAATGTGAAGTCTGCCATAAAAAAAATTTTGATCTGATGCTTTGTATTGCTCCTGCTCGCCAATTTGTCTTGTTTGTATTACTGTTTTGTATGTTCGTGTTTTATTTTTGTATGTTTCTTATTTATTAACAAGCTTGGTATGATCGAGGCGACCTATATTGGTCATAAGGTCTTCATTGACAAGGGAGACCGGGTCGTCCTCCAATCCAACCAATCCAACCCCTTAGGCCCCGAAAAAGAAAAGAAAATCCGTAAAAGAGCAATTAATTGCAAGAAACAAGCACGAATCATTACTTAATTTTTTATTCATATTTTAGAAGACTGAAAATAGTTAAAATATAACGTTATAGCAAACTACCAACTTTTTACACTTAAATTTTACGAATAAATCGAGAGCAGTCAATTTGTTTCGCAACTGACTCAACATCTTCTGATTTATGTTGCCTACAACTTGCCTGAGCGAAATCCTTTTTGCAATGAAGCCCGTTTGAAAAATACACTAGTGTGCAAAAATTAAGGACGAAGTCGAAAAATTAGCATATCAGCTGAACGAAGAGGCAGAGCGGACAGAAAGACCAATCAGGAGATTAAGTAAGGTGATGTACGGTAGCACAATGCGCAGATATGCAGGTAGACGTAATGGGAAAGTGTCTGAGTAGTATAAAGCATGTTACCGGTGTAAGACCAGTATTTCTGGCAAAGAGATTGCACGCCGTATAGCAGTTAAAATCACACCGAGTTGCTGCCTCAGCGAGAAATGGCGAATAATCAATCTGTTAGACGACATTTGGATGCTTTTACCCGAGGTCGAATCATTGGGAAGTTGGAGGAAGGCCGCAGTGTGACACGTGTGGCTGCAGAGTTCGGAATTGCTTACAGCATCGTTTCATGACTTTGCAGACAATTTCAAACTACAGGAACAGCTATCCGGGGGTTTAGTAGTGGTCGTCCACCAGGAACCCCACCCGCAGATGACCGGTATATTGCCTTACAGGCCAGAAGAAACAGGCGGCAGACAGCGGGAGAAATCGCTAGACACACGACACAGGCGACTGGACGACCGATAATATCGCGTTTTACTTTTTTACCGTGGCCAGAAGACTGCACGGTGGTGGTCTGTTTGCATGACGCCCTGTACGGTGTGTACCTCTAATGCCTGCCCATCGGAGAAGGCGTTCTCTGTGGTGCCGGGAACACCGGAATTGGAGAGACAATGAATGGGGACGAGTACTCTTTACAGATGAGAGCAGATTCAGTCCGAGTAGCGACTCTCATCGCATACTCATCTGGAGAGAGCGGGGAAGCCGCAATCATCCCTCGAACATCATTGAAAGGGACAGGTATGGAGGTGGCGGTGTTCTCGTTTGGGGAGACATCATGCTTGGTAGTCGTACAGATCTTCACATCTTTGACGCAGGTTCAGTCAACGGGACCCGTTATTGTAACGAAATTCTTATTCCATATGTGCGTCTTTTTAGAGGCGCTATGGGTCCGCAGTTCCTTTTCATGGACGACAATGCACCATGTCATCGCACAGTAGCTGCTGAACAGCTCTTAGAGAGTGAGGATATTGAACGTATGGATTGGCCGGCATGATCTCCGGATATCAATCCCATCGAGCATGTATGGGATTTTCTAGGCAGACGCTTGGGAGCTCGTAACTTACCACCAGTAAAGATTCCGGAGCTTCGATTGGCGCTGCAAAACGAATGGGCAGCAATGTCTCAACAACTCATTGACACCCTCATTCTCAGCATGGGCAGACGCTGTGAAACCTGCCTAGCAGTCAGGGGAGATCTTATCCCCTATTAAAGACTGGATGTTTCTTGCTGGATACCCATCACAGGGATGTTTCGGCCTTCAGTCGCATTGCGCTCCATGCTACTTTTTCAATAAAGCTTCTTTTTATCCCTCTGATTTCTCTTTTGGTAAGTGTTGCTTACATTACTCATGTCCTTACGTATTGGGGATCTTACGGTATTCAATGTGTTGATTTGGAAAGCTTTTGTGTAAAGTTATATTGAAAAAAACCGTCTCGTCCTTAATTTTTGTACACCAGTGTATATTTCTTACCAACTGTTCAAACTAAAATTCCCTAACGGGATAAGCTGATGTTCGCTTTTCCCACGGTGGGGAGGGGTACAGTTAGAATAGAAAGAAATAATGATGTGGTAAGATGTATAGATCTGGCACAGTGTCACGTATGATATTTCATATTTGTTTTAATCATGTTTGTGTTACTGTTAACAACAAATAATCAAAAGACACCTACTGTGAATTAAATGACTCAACACTTCAGAACAAAGACACCACACCAACAAAGTGCACTATTACATGACTGTTTCTTGCTATAAATAATTTAAATAATAAATGTATTTAATTATTTGGAAAATGTTGTTAGATGTTGCTGATATAAAGATGCAGTTACAATCACAACTGAATTAAATATTCCTTTTTATTTTAGCCAACACACATTTTTATAAATAAACTGGTATAATAAACATTAAAGGCTACATCAGTACTGATAAAATTTTGAAATATGATTGAAGCAGTAGGACTTGAAGATCTAGTTAGCAACAGAAGCAAGTGTGATGTGTCTTGTAAATGAATTTTAAATTAAGTTGGTTTTGATTTCAGTATATTTTGATTGTCTAGAATTATTACTGGCTGAGGGTTCATGTAACTTATGTCTCAGAATTATATAACAATCATATAACATGGGTTAATTCAGAAATAATGATAAACAATTTAAAGCTATTTACTATAAACAATTACTATTTTTTGGACAGAAAAAGGAAATTGGCAAATTAAAATGGAAAGTTAAAGGATTATTGTAAAGTTAAGAGTTTTAATTTACATATTTATCTTACATGCATTATTAATATTAAATAGCTTTATTTCTGAAGTTATTGCTACAGTAGAAAACAAGTAGAGTGTAGTTTCCCTCTCTAAACAGTCTGATTTTTAAAGCTCCACAATAAAAGTCAAACTGTACACTTAAATTTTTCTAGATATGAAATTTCTGTATAAATTTTACCACTTAATCTAATTTAATCTAACAAAGAATATATATTTTTATGAAATTTTAATAATTCAATCAGTGTTCAAAGTATACAGAAATTTCATTTTCAATGTCTTACTTCCTTACTTCATTCTCTTAGATCTTTTAAATTCAATTGACAGAGTAATATTTTACATCAGACAGTCAAGCTACTTATATACACCGAAGAGCCATTACATTGTAACCACCCTTATTAACCACCTGTAGGACCCCTTTAGCCATTAAAACTTGCCAGCACCTGGCATCGCATTGACTCTATGAGATTGCTGTTTTGTAGTCCAAGATATCTGGTATCAAGCGTCCACATTGCGAGGGGGTAGCGTGGCAGCACGAATTTGGTTTTTCCAGGTGGGATCACAAATGCTCTATTGGATTAATGTCAGGTGAATTTGGAGGCCAAGACATAACTTGAAAGTCACTGGAATGTTTCTTGAACCACTCCCTGATGATGTGAACCTTATGACATGGTGCATTATCCTGTTGATATGGATGGGTGAACCTGGTCTGCAACAATGTTCACGTAGCACATAGACCTCAGGGATTGTTCTATGGGGATTATGGGTCCTAATGTGCTCCATGAAAACATTGCCTACACTATAATATCCCCACCACTGGCATGTCTCCATCCAACTGTGCGTCAGGGAGCCAGGGTTTCCTTTTGAAATCGGCGTATTAGCATACGCCTGTCAATGTGATGGATCAAAAAATGTGATTTGTCGGACCATGCAACTTCCTTCAATTCTTCTAATGTGCAATTCCGATGTTTCTTGGTCCATTACAGACGCAGCTGGCGATGACATGCCGTCAATGTAGGGACATGCTACAGCCTCCGGCTGCTTAGGCACATATGCAGCAGTGTATGCTGCACAGTGTATTGAGAAACACTGTTTGGGTTGCCATTGTTGTAGCTAGTGGCAATTTTGGCCATTTTAGCTTTTCGTCACACAGCGAAACAATGCATAGTAATCTTCACTCTCTCCTCTGGAATCAATGCCCTGTCGACGACACACTGCTGGCCAACGACTTATAGTTTCACCCTCCCTACACCACTTTCGATATGTGCTCACAACAACTGCACATGAATGGCTCTCTAAATGCACTGTTTCTGATACTAATTTTCTCCGTCGCAAAGCCATAGCGATTCGACATTTATGGAAGTCTGATAAATCAGCTGCTTTTCCCATTATGTCATTAATTGCACTATCTTTGGAAAGACAATGTAGTACTTTATATACTTCAATATCAGCCGTGCATGCGCAGTGGTTTTGTTCCTGGGAAAGCCCCACTGTTGTAGATGGAGGGTGGCCATAATGTAATGACTCTTCAGTGTATATTCCACTGTAACCAGTTTTTTCATTAAGATGATCTGAAGACAAAAAGTCTGGAAGATTTAATGTGGTTGTTAGCTGATACAGCCTGGACTATTAAATCAAACTATACTTTGCAGTGAATCCTGGGGAAAATCCATTCCCATGATTGGATATGCTTTTTGATGACATCATTTCTTCTCTGCTAGAGAATATTTTGACACCATTTAGGTTCGAGAGTATTCAGGTACACCTTCATATTGTTTATTTACATTTTGTTTTCAGTGTTAAAATGATTTTTATTACTAATGTGGTAGTAATACTTGCACTGACATGGTGTGATTTTAATTGGTTGCATGTATTATATTTCCATTTATCTATGTTAATCATGTGTTCAGTCAACATTCATAAAAACAATAAGCTTCCCACTAAGTTATATCTCAAGGTACAGTGGAACCTCAAGCTACAAGTTTAATTCGTTCCAACACTGAGCTCATATAGCGAATTTCTCGTATCTAGAAACAAACTTCCTATTGAAAATAATGGAAATCCAGTTAATCAATCCGCACCTCTAAAAATATCAACATAAAAATAAATTTTCTAATAAATAACACTAGTAAATATATAAACCTAATATAACGATAGTTTACTTTATGAGAGCTTCCAGCACTGACCTTTTAACTACTTCTCATTAATCCACACTACGAACAGCTTTCAACATCTTCTAGGACTTTTGGACAGTGCTTGGAAATAACGGTAATTCTTTTGGCTATATCAAGTTTCCAATTTCTTTTTGCTTTTTTCAGAAATCATCAAATCATCGATGTTGAAAGGCCGTGTCTCTTCGCCAATTCTGTCACACTTATACCACTTCTTTATCTTTCTTTCTTAATTTCAATGGCCATGGTTTCCTTATTTTTCTTTGCAGCACTATCTGAGAGAAAAACCTGCTTGGTAGGCATCGTGAAATAATTATTTTCATGTTAAAAGTAATAAACAATTGTAAACGCAACGTATTAATAATTTATTTAAAATGTGTTTTTCCCGATTGGCAACAACAGTTTTTTTTCAGAACAATAAATTTGAACGGTAATGTTTTTTGAGCGGTAATGTTGACGGTAATGTTTCTGAATAAAGCAAGTAATTTAACAATTAATGTTGACGGAATGTGTGTTTTTAATATAAAATTAAATGCTAACATTTCAGAAGTGGGATAAACTAGAATTATTATCTAGATTTTAATACGTATTGCCTTACGTACGCCTAAGCCTAAACTGATGCGGAAGCTCGCCAAACTGAAAGTAGAAGGTACGGAATTTATAACTGTTTAGTTATGTCTAAGTATTAAATGAAGAACTTAGTATAATTATTGTATTAGTATTTGAAAAATTGAAGTCTAAGATGGCTTATTTGGCAAGAGGCAAAAAATTGTGATTAAAAGAACTTGCTTTGGAACTTGATGTAGATGTCCCTTCTGATAATTAAAATTGTAGGCTTAAGAGAGATATATTTTGAATAGTAAGAATTATAAACGAAGACTTTACTAAACAATGCTAGATAGAATTATAAAGATCGTTTAGACGGGAAAAGTTAGAAATTTTTAGAAAAAGAAAAAGATAAGCAAAGAGCATTTGAACTTGAAAATTGAAAATAGAAGCGGAAAATCAGAAGTAGTAAGTAAATGATTCTGTTCCTTCTATGTTAGTAGAAGTAATATTTGTGATATGAGTAAATTAAATGCATAAGTATGATTTGAATGAAGGTGATATAAGTTTTATCTAGTTTTATTTGAGAGACATGCAACGACGTATTGGGTTAGAAGAACAAAACGGGTTTTTCTCAGCTGTTTGGGTCTATTGCCTATGAAATACTCAATTTTAATTGCTCGTGAATCAGCAGAAAAAGCTAACGACTAAAGCACGTAAAGCCCTGCTACTGAGAAAATTTAAGTTAAGCCCCCTGAACAGTTTCGGCAAAAGTTCGTTGATCATATTAAAACATTGCGTAATACGTGGAAGGACTTCACGTTTGAATTAAAAAATTATTTTTGAAGAGTGGCTTGCTGGATTAAATGTACAGATTGACTCTTTAAAACAACTTATTATTACGAAATAAAGAAGATGTCCCCCCCTGCTATCCAGACCCATTTCATTGATGATTGGTCTAAATTCATTAATCCTGAAGAGTTGGCTGAAAACTAGATGAATATGAAATATTCGGGCAGGGATAAAAGTACTTCAAGTAGAAAATAAAACTTTTAGGCATATTCAAAGCCCAAATCTGGTTCTAATTTATGAAGGATCCTATAATCAGTATTCAAGACAAAGAATGTTAACGATTCCCTGCAGACAGATGGTATTTCAAAGTGGGTTTAAAAAGTTTTAAAAGTTTTGATAATAAATACAATCTGAGAGAAATTTTATAAAACAGACGAAAGGAAAAGGGAATATAATTCTGGCATCCGCATGAAAAGTGTGAGCCGAAATGCTTCATTGTAATGATTATGGACATAAAGCGAAGGATTTCCTCAGCCTAAAAAAGAAATTTTTGCAGGAAATGTAATGAAAAGGGTCATACTTTAAAAGGTGTACGTCCTAAGAATCCAGACTTGACAAATGTTAAAAATAATTTATCCGTGGACCAGAATTCAGGTGTTTCACCAGCTGTATATTTAAAGTATGCTCGCATCAATAATGGAGTAGAAATTGCTGCAATCATAGATACGGGTTCTAGTTAGTGTTTATTGAAACAGTCTGCGGCTTAGAGACTGAATCTTATTATAAAACGTGATGTGGAGGAATAGTTTGGCTTTGGGAACCAGAGTAAACCAGCTGCTCTAGAACATTGGGAAAAGTAACTGTTAACTTAGAGATTGATAATGGGGAGGGAAAGGACATTACAGTTCTAATTGTAGAAGATGAAACGCTACCATGCGATTTATTAGTTGGTCGAACATGTATTGATTTACCACATATTGCATACGCCAAGATAGGTAA